AGGGCACACGAGACGCAGCCTTCACCCCCATCATCTAAAACAGGTTAATTAAGAGTGGCTGAGTTTCCCCCCACCCCAACCTTCTGCCTTGGAGAGCTGCTGTGACCGCTCTATTGGGGAACAAGCTGCCAAGTGCAGGGACGTCTTCATCGCCCGCGTCTGCGAGACCCGGCGCCCACCACTGAAGCCTGGAGAAGCAGGACCATCCCACGGCCAAGCCAGGACCATAGAGGGCTCATTGTCCCCCCGTCTCCATGGTTATCCTGGAGACTCCAAGCACTGTTTAACAACACATCCCGCCCCGCCAAGAAGGGGATTTAGCTCCTCCGAGACCTCAAGGTACAAAACAAAAATGTGCAACAAGATTCTTTTTGACTATGTAGGTCAGGGCAAAGAAAACAAGCTGTTGGGAACAATCCCCCAGGCTGGCGGGGGGGATGGATTAGCTGGGACCTAAGAGGGCTTTTCCAGCCCGCGGTCCCGCGGGGCTTTGTACGGCGGGTCCATTGTGTTAACTACAAACCCGACTTGAACATCATGGGCAGGAGTTTTGTTTTTTTCCAAAGGGCACCTTCAAAAGACAACCTTAAATATGATTTCACAGGCTCTTTTCACTCAGCACAGCGGGGCCAAAACCCTTTACTGGCTGATCAGGGAAGCTGATGGTTCTACAGGCTTAAAGCAGAGTCTTTCCAATGCACCAAAGTCCTGGCAGGCTGAACGTGCCTCTGGACAACCATGAACAAAGCAGCAGAAGTTATTGCCATAGAAAGTGCATGGCTAGACCACTGAGGGGCCAGGGAGACCTTCAGATGGAGTAGAAATAAAACCCCAGGAGAAAGGGACCAAAAAGGAAAACAAAAGGGTAAATCTTAGCAGTGTGTTATGAGAAGATAAAATCACAAGCACCAGGGGTGTGTTATAAACAGGAGGCCATGGGGGACTGGAGAGGTTCAGGGAACTGTGCAGGAGCTCAGAGGATGGGCAGAGAAAGAGCTTGGAGAAAACTCCCAGGCAGGTCTCTGAAAGAGCACAGCCAATCCAGCGTGGGGAGATTTTAAAGAAATATTGGATTAACAACCACCTAGGGCAGCTCAGCTCTCGCTTCAGAGCTCAAGCCAACATGTGCCATTCCCACTAGGGCCAGGTGATGAACAGCAGAGACAGCACAGAGCTCTTGGCCCAACAGGCATCCCCATCCCACAACTTTGCTTCAGCTCTGTTCTAACTCACTTCAACTCAACCAGGTTGAAGCAATGCAGCTCTCTGACTTAGTTCCAACTCTCCTGCCATAGGCAGGGACACCTCCCACCAGCCCAGGCTGCTCCAAGCCCCATCCAACCTGCCCTTCAACACTGCCAGGGATGGGGCAGCCACAGCTTCCCTGGGCAACCTGGGCCAGGGTCTCACCACCCTCACAGCAAAGAGTTTCCTCCTAATTTCTAACCTAAATATCCTCTCTTCCAGTTTAAAATCATTAACCCTTGTCCTACCACCACATGTCCTTGTAAAAAGTGCCCTTATAAAAATGGCCTCAAGTTGTTCTAGGGGAGCTTTAGATTGGATATGAGGAACAACTTCTTCAAAGAAAGGGTTGTCAGGCCCTGGCCCAGGCTGCCCAGGACAGTGGTGAATTCCCCACCCCTGGAGGGATTTCAAAGCCTTGTAGATGTGGCGCTGAGAGACATGGGTTAGTGGTGGCCTTGGCAGGGCTGGGGTAAGGGTTGGACTGCATGATCTTAAAAGGTCTTTTCCAACCAAAACCGATTCAAAACAAGCCCCATCCTAGATGCATCCCCACCTTCCCCAAGCGCTGGCAGGGCCGGGCTCCCCCCAGTCACCTCACGACAGTGACGGATAGCCTGTGTGTTTTACAACTGTTTACCCACATCCATCTTGCTGGTGAGGCAGGTGGGAGGGTGGTTGGGGCCACCACCTTTGGCCCCCGGGTGCCGCGTGGCACAGCCCCTCGCCGGGGCTCCCCAGCCAGCAGGTCTTGCAGGGAGGAAGCCCGGCGGCTCGGGGCAAGCTGTCTCAAAAAACCATTTATCTGTCACATAAACGCGGTTTTATTGGTTTTTTACTGTTTCAACTTTTCACCTCTGCTGCTAAATCTGAGCAAACGAAAGGGGAAAAAAAGAAACAACCAACAACACAACCCAACAG